TTAGTAGGACAATTACAATAATTAATATATTGCATATTATTGTCTTCATGATAGTTATTCATAGTACAAGATGCAGAGTTGATATCTTGTCTAAACGCTATTAGTACAAATCTTTCTTCTCATTGAACTAAGAGAAAGTAGCTGTATATCTATCCTATTTTGTATATATATACAAAATGGTCCTTCATTTATATCCCCCTTTTTCATTTAGTTTTGTCAGAGATGGGTATTCCATGGCCATTCAAATATTGTAGGTGCATGAATTCAGCAAAATAATCCAATATAGTCCAGTAGGCCATAATAGTAGTGGGTTATCTGCAGAACTGGCAATGTCAGAAGTTGTTGACTTGAGCTTTTTACAGCTTAGCATACTGCATCCTTGTTTTGGTTGACTTGGATTGATACCACTTTAGAAAAAGTCATTAAGTATAAAAAAAATTCTGCTCTGAATCTAAAATTATGACTATATTATATGGGAAGAAAAGTTCCAATACTTTTGCAGGTCCAGGCAGAGATGGCTACAGTTATAATTAATCAGTAAATCACAAGATGCTGTTAGAGCATGCCTCAGATGCATCTGAAAAAGTTGAATGTCCTCTCCTGCCAGCAGGAAAGCAAAGTTAGGCCAAGCTATATCAGAAAAGGATTAGAGCTAGGAGGATCATAAAGCTACTCCCACTTTGAATTTACAGGAGTGAAAAAATCTAACACACAAAGAGCCAGGGCGATATTACACAATAAGTGCTAATTCCTTCCTTAGCAGATCAGGCCCAGCCATTTCTAGGCTCGCAAGGGTCAACTTTGATAAAGCTAAGTGTGAGACTAGAAGTCTCTAGACTGCTATAACTGGCATCCCAAGAAAGTCTACAATTTAATTAAAACAACAACAACAACATCCATAAAAAGACTCCATTTCAAACTGTAAATTAAGGGGCCAGGGATATAGCTCAGTAGAATAAGTGCTTGCCTGGCAAGCACAAGGGCCTGAGTTAAATCACTGGTTCTGCAAAAAAAAAAAAAAAAAAAAAATTAAATTAACACCCTAAATTAGAAATAATAGTTTTTGGACTATTTCTCTTCAGGATGCCCTTTGCCCTGCTGCCCTGCCTTGGAGTCAGTGTACTACAGACTGAAACCTCTACAAACTATGAGGTGAAATAAACTTTCCTCCTTTAACTTGTGGGTATTGGTATTTTGTCCTAGAAGCAAAAAAGGAACTGAGACAGTCCTTGCAGAGGGACATTGATATGGACAGCCCCTGATTCTTGATTCACACTTTAGAAAAACTAGCACACAAGTACTAAAGGGGACCCTAACTCTCCATCTCTAGTGCTCTCAAGCCCAATTCAGGATATATTTCTACAGTTAAAGGAGGTCTTTACCTGGCAAATATACATGAATGATGACTTGATGATGCTTCCTACCCATGTCCCACCTAGCACACATTGTGGTCTCCACCAATACTTGGCTGTGTTAGGACCCCTTGAGCTGTATGAAGAGGTTCACTTGAACTGGAGGGACAACAAAATTGTGTTGGTTACTTTTCTCTCATTGCTGGGACAAAACACCCAACACCCAAAATTAAAGAAGGAAAGGTTCATCTCGCTAAGAGTTTGTGGAAGTTTCAGTCCGTACTTAGCTGGTGCCAAGGCAGAGTGGCACATGACAGAGTGCAGCAGTTCATGGCGGTGGAAAACAGCAAAACAGCAAGGGCAAAAGGGAGGAGTAGTGGCCACAACAGCAACAGAGAGCAAGTCTGTCTCTCTTATTTTGCATTCAGACTATCCACTCCACGCTGGTTATAGCACTCACATCCATAATCCCAGCACTGGATCATGAATTAATCACAAAGTCTAGAAGGCCACCC